ATGGTAATAAAATATGACAAGAACTCAGAGTTAAACTGTGTCAGAACAAACTTATCTTGATAATGTTAGATAACACTTAAGCAAAACATGGTCAGGTCAGTGTCTGAATAATTTTTGGTCCCAAATTTTTATCAGTTTTACTGGCAGTCCACTGTATGAAGAATTTTTGGGTATAATATGTTACAGTTTACTTTATTTGCTATCCTCACTTACATAATTTTTGTATAATTTTTTTTGTGTGTGTGTTTTATTCCTGTAATGGCAAAGCTGAATTTTAAGCAGTCATCACTCCAGTCTTCAGTGTCACATGATCCTTCAGAAAACATTATAATATGCTGATTTGCTGATCAAAAAATGTTTCTTATTATTATCAATGTTGAAAATAGCTGTGCTTTAAACTGTGGTGTCTTTCAGGATTCTTTAATGAATAGAAAGTTCAAAAGATCAGCATTTATTTAAAACAGAAATCTTTTGTAACATTACAAATGCTTTTCTATCACTTTAAATAAATGTAATGCATCTATCACTTTAAATAAATTTAATGCATTCTGATGAATAGAAGTATTGTTTTCTTAAAAAAAAACTAAAAAACTTTTGAACAGTATATTGTTCGCAAATAAGAGAAACAAAAACACATTTGGACACTCTTTGGCTGTCAATGGAATATTTTCATTGTCAATGTGATGAACTGCGTATGTGATTACTCTGTGAACTGCCTTCATAAAATCACTGCAACACTAGCTGGAAGAAAATAATTACTTCTGAAAAGATTTTTGAGTGTGGCCTAAATGTCCAAATACTTTTGTATCCAAATATCATTATATTCAGAATCTGTTTAAGTATCTATACATCAAAATGGGCTCGAATGGCTTGAGTTTGAGGTGGGATTATCTGTTTGCTCGACTAGTTGCAGACAGGAGTGTTTGGAAAACCTGCTTGGAAAAACCTGTTATTATTTGCAATTCTGTTTGCTGTGACAGATATTCTGTGACAGATACAGTATTACACACTTAAACTACACTATCAGAAAAAAGTACAAAAGGTACTCTTTCAAATGGTACTAATAAGGTACTAAATTTATATAAGGTACAAAATTGTACCTTTTGAACAGGTACAGCCCCAGTGACAGCTTTTGTGCTTATTTTTCTGAGAGTGTAAGAATCAACTGTTGATAAACACATATTATTTGACCACTGATCTGATCTGATGTGTCCCCTTGAGTGTCTGTGGTGGATATGTCCCTGAGTCTGAGGGACAAAGCAGCTCTGATAGTGACCCTGAACTGATGCTCTCAGTCTGAAGAGAGATGAAGAGAGGTTAAGAGAGGATTTAGCCATTGAGTGTCTGAACAGAGGATCTCCTCAAGGACGACAGCCTTTCGGTTTCCCATGTCAGACACGCGGCATTTTCAAAAGAAACATTTCACTTCACACTATATAGTGCTAAGCACATGCATGTAAACTCTGAGGTGTTCACTCCTCCATCCACTACCGTGGGAAGCTGTAGGGCGAGAGCAGCCATGGTAACTAGAATTACAAGTGCTTGGCAGGAGTTTGCTGTCAGGAACGGTGCCTTACTGACCCAAGCTGCAGCAGCATGCCCTGCATTACACAATACTCCATGCACCCCTCTGCCTTCCTGTTGGCTTGCTGCTTTGATTCAATGTTGCCATACTCAATTGAATAGTTTTCTGGTGTGTACACATTTGTGCCAGTGCAGTTGGCAGGCAGCCCGTCTGATGCAATTACACCTACACTCTTGAAAATAAAGTTTCCTTATTGGAATCTGTGGTTCCATTAAGAATCTTTAACATCCATGGAAACTTTCAAATGGACAAAAACTTCTTTATAGTAGAAAAGATCACTGAATGGTTCTTTGGGGATCCCAAAAGGGTTAATCTAAGGCATCACTATGAAAACCCCCCTTTGGCACCTTTATTTTTAAGAATGTATGTGCGGTGACCCCTAAAAGATTCATAGAACAAAAGATATGCTGTACAAGAATGAAGACAAAACTGTGTTTGAACACTTATGGGTTGTTAGATGTTAGTGGAATATATTCACAGTTAATGTGATGAGACGTACCAGGTAGTGTTGGGGAAGCTCATTTATATAATGTAGCTTGTTACAAGTTAATCATAATAACAGATAGTTGAACTATAGCCAATCTGCTGTTTTGAAAAGTTAGCTACACTATAAGCTACAACCACAAAACAGACTATGTTGACATTTCCTAAAGGCCCTTGTGAAAAACAAGTGTGCTTAATTGTACTGAATGTGCACTTATAATGTACTTAAAACACCAAAAGTACATATTTTTAAGAACTGAACTTGCAGATAACACAATTGTAACAAAGTTCGTAGTCACGGGAAGAAGGAGGCGGGAACCGGCGAACATTTAAAACCTTCCAGAGCTCCTCCGTGGGACTCGAGACCGGTGAGTGGCGCAGGTGTCGTGCATTAGCATTTACTCCACCGGCCTCGCTCCGTTCCCACGGCTCTCGGCCCCGCCCCTCTCGTCACATACCCCCATCGCAGGCCGGGGGGGTACTCACGAGACTGTGCTCTACTCCCCCCCTCCCCCCTCCGGGGGAGCCGATCATACCGGCTTACCTGGGGGTAAGGACAGACAGACGAGGTGAGAGAAAAGGAGACGGAAGGATGAGGAGAGACAGAGACGAGAGAGGCGAGAGGGGAGAGGGGAGAGAGGGGAGAGAGGAAAAAAAATAATAATCTAGTTCCGGTTCCCAGACACACTGCCGCTCGGCCCTCTATGAAGTCGGGCCCTCGCCATGTCTCTGCTGTTATTTTTGTTGTCCAACCGCTTCAAAGTCGTGCTTTCTTCTCGTTCTCCGTTCTGATTATTTTTCTTTTGCAAGGTTTTTCTGCATCCTTTGCTTCTCCCCCTTTCTCCTCCTCTTCCTCTGGGTTTTTGATCTTTGTCATGGCACACTTCCTCCACTGATGACAAATTAAGGGGGAAAATCACTGTGGAAATT